TCCACACCTGTGCTCTGTGCCTGTGTGTACTCTCCACACACCTGTGCTCTGTGCCTGTGTGTACTCTCCACACCTGTGCTCTGTGCCTGTGTGTACTCTCCACACACCTGTGTCTGTGCTTGTGCGTACTCTCCACACCTGTGCTCTGTGCCTGTGTGTACTCTCCACACACCTGTGCTCTGTGCCTGTGTGTACTCTCCACACCTGTGCTCTGTGCCTGTGTGTACTCTCCACACCTGTGTCTGTGCTTGTGCGTACTCTCCACACCTGTGCTCTGTGCCTGTGTATACTCTCCACACACCTGTGCCTGTGTGTACTCTCCACACACCTGTGCCTGTGTGTACTCTCCACACCTGTGCTCTGTGCCTGTGTGTACTCTCCACAGCCATGACTGTGTGTGCTTACCCAGACCCTCCAGGTTTCTGTCTGAAGCCTGGAGTCCCTGGTCTCCATAACTTGTTACTAGGACTCTTTAATCACTGTTTCCTCTTCCGTTATATCTAATTTAGAAGAATCTAGTCCCTCCTGGGCTTAGCTGCAGAGCATTGTTCCTACCCGTGCACTCTAGGAGACTGGTGAAGCAGGCAGCCATTGTACTCCTACCTGGACATGGCAGCATCACAGTGGTCAAGGCTAGGAAAGGCTGGATCCCAGGTCGAAAGACCGCCACTGTAGATTGCATAGGTGCCCGGGGAGAAGCCAGTACTTCAGCTTCTCAGCTTAGAGCCTCTTCTTGTACTCCAGTCCCAGAAATATCATGGAGACCAGCTAGTCTTGCTTTTAAACTATGTGATCTTGAGGAGTGTGCTGAAGTCTTCCAAGCATCCCTTCTCCTGAGACTCAACTCCTTTTGTGTTCCTTTCTAGGGGCCCTGAGTCCTGCCTGTGAAAATAGCCATGATTTTTCTTCAGTGATGTTCCAAGGCCTGTGTTTTCATTTAGATTTGAGGAAGCCAGAATAACCCAAGGACCCTAAAAGTGTACCTGAGTCTCTGTAGGCAGTGGCCAGAGGATTGAGGATTGCTGGTCATGGCTGAATGTATAGAGTTTAAGGCCAAATGTCAAGTTCTGGGCATGTTTGAGAAGCCCGTGTTAGTGATCCCCAAGTGGCTCCTGACGGGATGTGAAGACAGTGAGCCTGTCCATACTCCTCGAAAAGGCCTAAGAGAAGTTCTGAGTCTCCACTCCAAGGTCCCAGTGTCCTCTCCTCTAGTGTCCTACCCTACCCCCGGGTCCCCTAAAAGAACCTGACCTTTCTCAGTCACAGTGCTCAGTCCCTCCTCTTCGTCAGAGGATTTATCAAATCCTGTCACTTCCCTGAGGTATAGCTCAGATCTGCAATGGTGAGAGGAGTCATGGCTCTACCACTGGAAAAGGAAGGCACCGCCCAGGGGATAAAGAAGCCCTCTGCTGCAGAGCGGTGGTGGCACACGCCTTTAATCTCAGCTCCTGAGAGGCAGCAGTAGACAGAACTCTGTGAGTTTGAGGCCAGCCTGGTCTACAGAGTGAGTTTCAGGACAGCCAGGGCTACACAGAGGAACCTTGCCTCGAAAAACCAAAACGAACAAACAACAATAACAAACCTGTCTGCTGTATTTGTTATAGCCATGGTCCAGGCTATGAATGAGGCAGCTGGACACTCAGGGATATTGTTGGTGGCAGTGAGCTGTCTTCAGTATGTGACCTGATATGTTGGAAGGATGGATGGCTCTTAATGTCCCAAACAGAACCTGCTCCGTGCAACAGAGTTAACGCCCCCAAACCTGTCTGCTTGTGCACAGAGCTCAGGGAGCCCCAGGCTGAGGTATTCTTAACAAGCTTTTCACCTCTGTGTTTCTAAGGAGGAGGTAGTAGATGTTGTGGGTCCCAGTGGGAAAAGGAAGAATGTCACTGTGTGACCCTGGCAAGGCATCTCTATCCCTGACTACTAACAGCAGCCCTCCCCATTGTGGCCACCGAAAGACTCAGTAGAACACTTCTAGGTAGGCCCCATTGAGGACTTCCTGACTTACGGTAGACTTTTCTTGGGGGTTGTTACTATTTTTCCAAGCCCCACAGACCTTGTCTTTGACAAGTGCATTTTGTCCAAATGGAGATGGTGACCTTCCAGTTGGATGTGAAGCTCTGAGCATGCCCAGTTGCCCACAGCCAAGCATCAGAAACAGCAGCATGGGACAGATGAAGGTGTGGCGTGCTAACCCGCTGCTCCCGATCTCTCCCTCTGTGCCCCAGAATGGTGTTTTTCCTAGAGGATGTCATGACATGCACAAAGCGGTTGCTGGAATGGATCGCTGGCTGGCTCCCTCGCCACTGCATTGGAGCCATGTTGGTGTCACTTCCTGCCCTGGCTGTCTATTCACACATCACCTCTGAGTTTGAGACCAACATACATGTAAGTATCTGCAGGCCCTCTTCTCACCATTCCTTCCTGGCTCCCTAACCTCTTCTCGCACTTTAAGTCTGCTCATTTGGGGTAGGGCTAAAATTCAAGTTTTTAAAGAGGTACTCTCTATTACTGCTTCCAGCCATCCTCTTAAAACAGGAAGCATGCGATAGCTAGGCATGGTGGTGCGAGCACACACACATACACACACACACACACACAGTGGCACATACATACACACAGAACTTAGAAGGTTAGGGCAGGAACATCAAGAGTTCGAGATCATCCTCAACTACATAGAATTTGAAAGTAGTCTAGATACACACAGATACACACAGATACACACAGACAGGTACATACATACACACCACAATAAAAATTGCAGTGCAGAGCTGCCAATGGCTATCTAAAGAGTGGCCACAAGGCTTTTCCAACTTCACTCAGGATCCGTTAAGTCTCAGATCAATCGCAGACACTCTTGACTTCCTATGGTTCAATCATTCAACTTTTTGGCTTCACGGTGATGAGACATGTGCCCTTGTGACAGTTCTAACCTCACGGTCATCTCTTTCAGCCACTTCGCTTAGATCACATGGAAGTCGCTGATTTTCACTTTCAGGGCTCAGTAAATAATAGCAGAGTGAATGGACTTGGTACTGGATGGTTTTGCCCAGCTGTGGGATCATGTAGGTGTTCTGAGCATGGCTAAACTAGACCAAGCTATGGGGTTGGGAAGACTAAGAGTATTAAATGCATTTTTATTTATGATAATTTTCATTTGTTACATTGTTCTTTTTAATGTGTGGGTGGTGGGTGCTGGGAATCAGACCCGAGATATTGCTTCCCCTCAGTCACATCCCCAGTCTTTTAGCTCGTAAAGGCTTACAGAGATGGAGTCCTGCAACAGTTTAAACATTTGTACTTTGCCACACACTTTACAAAGAAGCACCTGCCTCATGTGTCCATATGATACAAGGCAATGGGCCGGTCTGCTAAAGTCTCTGACTGGCACCTGGAGTAGCTGCTGCTTTGGGAAGGAGCTTTGGAGTTAACTCCACAAAGGACTGTGGGAAACATTTGCTTCTTACCCTTTAGGCTGAGATCTAGAGCCGTGTGCTTGAGTGTAACAGAACTACCTGGGAGCATCTGGTGTCCTAGCATCAAATCACTTCTCAGAGGCCCATAGCAGGACAGAAGGAAGCATTTGGAAGGTGGCCACTCCCACAGTGGTAGGGCCCCAGTAAGCAGCCTCCCTTTCCTGTCTATCAAAGTGACGTGTTCTATTTTATATGTCTGGAGGAATATTCTCCTAGCAGTGTGGACTTGCACCTACAGTGTAGTGCCATTTGACAGATATGTTATCTGTTTTTAAAACCAGTAGGTTACCCAAGGGAAGACTTATTGCACATTTTACAGTTACTTCTTGTCACTGTGACCAAATGAGAAACATTGTAAGGGACAGAGAATAAGCTCTGGCGCAGGACCTAAGGGACTAGTCTGTCATAGCAGAGAAGGCATAGCTCCACAGTGGTGGGTTTGTCAGGCTGAGACTCTTCATCTCCTTACAACTTGGTTAAACAGGAAACAGAGATGAGATAGGACATAAACCAGGCTGTGTACCTCAAGGCCCTTCTCTCCAGAGATCCACTTCCTGCTGCTAGGTCTATTTTCCAAAGATTCCACAACCTCCCAGAATAGCACTTTTGGCTGGGGACCAGGTATGCAAACGCATGAACTTGTGGAGGACATTTTACATTCAAGCCATTGCAAGTGGTACCAGAGATGCCTGATACTGAACAGAAGTGTGGGTGAGTGGTGCTCTTAGTCTGTGGCATGCAGATAGGATGGAAGCAACGTGGCAGAGGTGGCACAGGCTATCCTAACAGTGTCTTTTCTTGCAGTTCACCATGTTCACTGGCTCTGCAGTGCTGGTGGCCGTTGTACACTACTGTAACTTCTGCCAGCTCAGCTCCTGGATGAGGTCCTCCCTCGCCACCGTTGTGGGGGCTGGGCCGCTGCTTCTGCTCTACATCTCCCTGTGCCAGAACAGGTGTGTGGCTGACCTCTGACCTCATACGGCCCTCGCCTAGCATCTCTTAGGGCTCGGCAACAGTTCTGTGTTAGTTCTGTGTGGTGTGTTTCCTTCATGACTTGAAATAGCTTCCAGCACACATAGTGTTCAAAGAGTACCAGCTGGGACATAGCTCAGTTGTAAAGTGCCTGCTGGCATGCAAAGGCCCTTAGAGTCCCCAGGAGTACCAAAAACAAACACACACACAAAAACAAACATACAACCCGAAAAGTAGTAAAGTGCCCTAAGTGATAGACAAAAGAAAAAGAAAGTCATTTATAACACCATACGACAGGCTGTGTGTATAACGTGTGTATATTGAAACATAAATGAACATTGGATTTAGACTTAGTTTCTCTCCCTAAAAGATGCCTATATCATCAGTTGTGTGCAAATATTCAGAATTCCACTAGACTTTTGATCCCATGCACTTGGATTTGGGAACGCAATCTATATATAGTTGAATATAGATGTCCTTGGGTACCTGCCTCCGTGAGACATATGACTATTATAGGATATTTGAACTTTCTTTTGTGAATAAGTTGTAATCTAAGAAAGGAAGACCTGAATTATTTCATATGAAGAGTCAGGATGAGGAAAGACGAGAGGAAAAGCCAGGGTGGTGCAGACTTGTAACTCTAGTACTCAGGAAGCTGAGGTAGGTGGTCTAGCCTAAGCTACATAACAAGACTCTACTGGTACATGCCTGTAATCTCACCACATGGTAAGCAGAGGCAGGATAATCAGGGGTCTCAGGTATTACCTGACTGTGTAGAAAGTCTGAGGCTTTCTGGGCTACCAGAGTAGAAAGTATGGTGTGGACAGAGAGATTAGAGTCACATGATGAACCTCTGGAGACAGGGCCAGTTCTCAATTGAGCTATACAATGACAGAGACATTTAAACCCGATAAGAGCCAGGTATGGCTCACACTTGTAATCCCAGTGCTGCTGAAAGGGAAGTGGATGCAAGTTTGAGGGTAGCCTGGGCTACCAAGGAAGTGAAACCCATCTAGTGCCATCAGGCAAGCAGTCAGCACAGTGAAATGCCCTATGTGGATAATTGCTTCTTGGTTTGTTATATGTGTCTCAAGTTTCCTGTTACGTGCCAGCAACTGGCTTTGAGGCTTTTAGTCTTTATCAACTAAACACACAGTTGGAAATAGAATAGAAACTTGGGTAACAATGTATACAGTACTTTGTTTAAATAGTTCATGATCTCTTAAACCAATTAAGCTTCTGTTTGTGTAACAAACATCTAAATATCAGGCCTTTCCTGTAACTTCTTAGACAGGTGCTTTCCAGGTGCAGTGGAGAACCACCTGTTCAAAAAGCCAGGGAGCAGGCGAGCAGGGTGTTACATAGTTACAGGGGACAGTTCTCTATTGTACTTTGTAGGACATCTAACATTCCTGCCCCCTAACTTATTATCATAAGCAGGGCCTTCCACATTTCCCGGGTGCCCCTGAGGACCAGTGCTTTACTAAATGCCATTATCAGCAGTATCAAGAGTCTGTGGGAGTCACAGTGTGTTGGTGATTAGTGAACAGCATGGTGACTGTCCTCAGTTTTCTGCCTATATTAATAGCAATGTGAAACATTCATGTTCTCTATAAAGCAAGATCAAAAGGGGATCTGAGTTAGAGCTGCCAGTTCAGTATCTGAGAAAAAGCCATGACAAAATGCACAACCTTCCCCTGCCATTGTGGAACATCTTGACTCAGGGTCATCACAATGCTTTATACAAAGGGTATGGAATTCATCAGCGGCCTTTAACTTTGGATGCCTCGTGAACACTTAATGGTGACATTTAGTTACAGCTTTGGCTGTTCTTCTTAGATCTCGAGCAGCGAAGTAGGGGCCTCCCATCTGCCTCCCTGCTACAATCCAAAGAGATTTTGGCGGGAACTTAGATGAACCTTACCTTGAGCCAAGACCCCTTCCACACGGGGGCTTTTCCAAGCCTATGGCCCTGTCCCAGTTATTGCTGGAACTAGCAGGGCAGTGCTTGTCAGGTAGTAAACAAAAGCCTGAATTCACCTTTTACAGAGGAGAAGGACTCACTTTTCTGTTGCTGGAATAAAATGCCTAGGCAGCTTAGAGAAGAAAGTGTTTAGTTGGGCTCATGGTTTCAAAGGATCATGACCAAATATTTACCTCATGTTACCCAAAAGGGAAGTTACGTGAATTCTTCTTGGGTTGCTTTTAATAATGCCCTTTTTGTTTTCTGTAATATTTTCTTTTCAGTTCCATTGTGATGCCCCCCTTGGACTCAGCACAGAATTTCAGGTAAGCTTTCAACCTTCGGCCTTATCTCCCCAAAACATACATGTGCGTGCGTGTGTGCGTGCGTGCGTGCGTGCGTGCGTGCGTGTGTGTGTGTGTGTGTGTGTGTGTACAGGTTGAGAAAACTTTTTACTGGGAAGGTGAGTGGTCATTACATTAGACATATATTAGAGTTAGCTTAATTTTATGTAACAGAAAATCTCACAAATCAAAGATAATATTTTATCATCTAAAATATTTTGACCTGGAGCAGCCAAGATGTCTTAGCTGTTGAAGGTGCTGGCTGTGAGAGACTAGCAACCTGAATTTGATTCCCAGTAAGAGTAGTCGGAAAGAGCCACTCCACAGTTGCCCTCTGACTGCCACACACGCCCTCAGCATGCACCCCAACTCATCATGTACAGGCAGACAGTAATAATGAATGAATAATTGAGTTATATAAGATGCTGTCATCTGGCTAGAAATTTGAGATAATAAGTATTTGAATCTTTAAGTTAAATATTTAACCCTTGCTTTACTATAAACATAAAAGTAAATTCAAAATAAATTGAACGGTAAGAGATAAAAAAAAAATATGTGTGCTGTGTACATGCAGGTCTGCAACCACACATGCTCCTGCACTGATTCACTAATTCACACACACACACCCCACAAGATAAAAATACTTAAACCATAAAAGCTGGAAAAATATTAATTTTCATACCTCTTAAGACAGATAATTTTCTAGTCTTATCAATAATAAATAGATCCACAAGGAAAAGACTGAATGTCAGATTGGAAGGGACAGAAAAACATTCATAGAACATAAGCCCACACAGATGAAGTTCACAAAATCTATCACATACATATTAACCACAGTCCCCCTGTTCCTGGGAATCAAACAGGACACTGTCCATGCTATGCAAGTGTCCCCACTGATCCCTCAGAAAGTAGTAACTCAGTGCCAACCATGGCGATCAAGCCTGAAAGACAAGAACTCTGCAGCCTGAGACAAGAGGATTGCTGTGAGTTTGAGGTCAGCTTGGGCCTATATGTGGCACTGTATATACAGTCTTGATAGATCCAAAATGTTATAGGTACCAAGCCTACTTTTAGGGCTGAAAGTTGGCCCTTGCGTTCTCTTTGTCTGCCTGCTATTTCAGATCCCTCTTTTGATGACGGTAGAGCTCAGTGTGTTTGCTTTAGCTCCCATCTGTATAATCCGATGCCCGCACCCTGTATTCAGTCACTCTTACATTTCTCATCTCAGATCCCTCCTTTGCACTGGGTATGAAGGTACAGGCCTGTAATCTCAGCTATGAGAGCAGAATCATAGATCGAGGCCTGCGTGAGTCCATGAAGAGTGAGCTCAAGGTGGCCTGCACAGCTGTCTTGGAGATGCCATCTCAAAATGGGAATGAAAAATGAAAGAGCCTGGAACGGCTCAGTGGTAGAGCCCTTACCTAGCGCAAGGCCCCGGGGTCACTCACCAACACACAAACACACCAACAATCCTCTTCTTAGAAACTGACCTTTGCTTGGCTGCTCTTGTCTATCTGTCTTAGAATAAGAATTGCTGGGTGTGGTGGCATATCCCATAGTCTCACACTTGGGGAGTGAGGGCAAGAGGATCAAAGGTTCAAGTTCACCGTCAGCTACATAGTGAGTTAATTCCAAGACAGCCTGAGCAACATGAGACCTTGTCTTTTTTTTTTTAATATTTTTAGACTTATTTATTTTATTTTATGTATATGAGTACACTGTAACTGTCTTCAGACACACCAGAAGAGGGCATCAGATCTCATTACAGATGGTTGTGAGCCACCATGTGGTTGCTGGGAATTGAATCAGGACCTCTGGAAGTGCAATCAGTGCTCTTAACCGCTGGGCCATCTCTCCAGCCCAAGACCCTGTCTTAATAAAACAAAATACAGGGCAAAGTGCCTTAGTGGGTAAAGTACTTACTGCCTCCAGGAGAACAGAACTGATTCCACAGACTTACCCTCTGACGGGAACACATTCCTGGGTGTGTGCTCTCACCAGTTGCACATACACGTAACAATAAAGTTGTTTCAGTTTCCAGTTTGGTTTGGGTTTGGGTTTGTAAGGTATAAGCCAATGAGAATGTGTAAAAAGGGCTGTTCCTCAATGTCACAGTGGGAAAAGCAACTTCGCCCCCAACCCAGTAAGCCATGCTCACAGGAGAGACAGTTGGTTTCTTCCCAGCCCAGACCCTCTGTACACTCTGCCAGGCAGAGCGCCCGGTGGTCGTGGGAGCTCACACCTTTAATCCTAGCACTTGTGGAGGGAGAGGCAGGCAGATCTCTGAATTGGAGGCCAGCCTGATCTACAGAATGAGTTTCAGAACGGCCAGGACTACACAGAGAAACCCTGTCTCAGAAAAAGAAAAAAAAAAAAAAGAAGACAGGGAACCTCATGCTGGACTAAAATATGTTTTAGTCAGTTAAACAAAATGCTCACTCTGCTTAGGCATTTGAGATTGATAGGTATTATCATTTGATTCAATGCTATAAGTAAATAAACATGGGATGTCCTACAATAGAGAACTCTGTCTTGTTTCCCAATCACTGGGCTAGGAAACCTATGACAGGTCTCAGGTCCAGCCTGGTTGGACTTCAGGGTTCAGAATATTACAGGAAGAAGACATCAGAATCAGCAAAGGGAAGAATTTGGCCCAGTGAGCTGTGATGGCCCTAGAGGATCTCAGTGAAGACAGCTCGCCCTAAGCTTCTAATAGCAGGCCACATCCAAACTCAGAGAGAAAGCAGGTGTTCAGCAAAACTGTTCAAGTAGCCTTAATACCATGGGCTGCTGCCATCCAGGGATGATGGAACCCCTCTCCATCCCAGCTCCCTGTAGCTAGCCCAGGCCACTCTGAGGATAACCTCCCCTTGGGAGCTGACACAGCTACCCTGAACCTGAAGGGAGAAGGGACTTGGCCATCCTCCAGCTGATCTCCATGGTTTACACATGAAGAAACCAAGGCCTCTAAGGTCTCCAGTTGACCTCCCAGAGTAGCCTAGGGACCATTCCAATGTCAGGGCTTTTGTGATGGTGTTTTGGTGGTGTCTCAGCGGCTTCAAGTTCATTTTTTCTTCTCTCTCTCTTTCTCTCTATCTCTTTCTTTCTCTGAAAAAAAAATCATGTAGCCCAGGCTGGCCTTGAACTTGCTGTGTATCCAAGGATAACCTTAAACTCTTAATACTCTAGTCTCTCCTTCCAAAGGCTAGGATGATGGATGTGTGCCACAAGGCCTTGCTACATCCATTATTTTAAAATACCCTTATGTCAAAGGTAACAATAAGACTTTAACTAAATATTGTATCTAAGGAGTTAGGTTTCTGTGTCCTAGATCTCACCTGAGAACACATTAGGTTTTTTTGTTTTTCTTTGTTTATTTGTTTTTTTTTTTTTCGAGACAGGGTTTCTCTGTGTAGCCCTGGCTGTCCTGGAACTCACTCTGTAGACCAGGCTGGCCTTGAACTCAGAAATCCACCTGCCTCCGCCTCCCAAGTGCTGGGATTAAAGGCATGCGCCACCCCTACCCGGCCACATTAGTTTTATATCCCTTTATCTTTACATAGTAAGCAATTCCAACACTACATAAAATCTAACAACCTATCTTGGGCATTTAGAAATGCATTAACATATAAAACTTATAGGAACTGAAGAGTCAAAGCTAGGTTAAAAATAGAAGGGGACAGAGACAAGAGAGGGATGCAGGAAAGGAAGAAGGAAATTCAAATGTTAACACAAACCATCTCTCGGAACCAGGACAAGAGATAAATCGGTTTTTACATTTCTACTCTCCCCCTAAATTTCCTATGATTGAGTATGTAGCATTTTTACAGAGGAAAAAACTGAGCAAGTATAGTGGTATATGCTTATGATCCTGGCACTCGGGAAGTAGAGGCAGGAGGATTAGAAATTTAAGGTTATCCTCAGCTATATAGCAAATTCAGGACAACCTGTGCTACATAAGATCCTGCCTTAAGAAGAAAAAAACCAAAAAACTGTGATAGCTCTCGGTGCTATCTCCGGTTTCAGCTGCAGGGTTCCTTAGTGGCACCTGCTTGCCGGAGAACACCGCAGCTGGACGTAAGTTCAGTTATCTGGCAAAGGGAATGGGAAGTGTGGTTTAGAACAGTTTGAAGGCTGAGGTTATTGCTTAGAGAGAGAATGCTTGTCTCTATGCACTAGGCTCTGGGCTCATTCTCCAGCACTTATGAGGACTTCTTGGGAACTTCTAGTTAAATTCTGAATGCACTGTATTTAAAATGATTGAGACATCCAGTGTATACAAAGATGAGGGTAGGAATGTTCTTCAATACATCATTTCTCATCATAACTACTGTGTCCCTCAGCATGAGTGTGGTACATCCATATATTAGATGACTCTATAGCCTTGACAGAATAGCTGCGTTCGGTACCCTGAAGGAAAGACTATTCTGTCCCTTATGCTGATTGACTTTCTTACCATGTGCATATATTATGTATATACATCATATCTTAAATGTATACATCTTATATTCTTTTTGAAAATGTTAAGATAGTCTTAAATAACTTTGGTGAAGCAGAACTACCTAGAAAGGGGGTGTGTGTTTTGTGAAAGTTTCATATAAGTAAGTAGAGAATAAATAAAGGACAAAAAAGTCTTTGTAAAATGATGTCTGTTGCCTAGAAATCTAAGAATAAAATCTATCAGAATATTCTGTTCTTGGGTACAGTAATGACACTGAGATCATAAGGGATGTGTCTGTGTCTTGGGAGAGACATACTAAAAGAGACCACCAGCAACTTACTTTCAAATTGTTTAGAAAAACGTATTTAGGTTTTTTGTTTCGTTTTGTTTTAGATTTATTCATTATGTATACAGTATATTCTGCCTTCATTCAGGCCAGAAAAGGGCACCAGGTCTCATTACAGATGGCTATGAGCCACGATGTAGTTGCTGGGAATTGAATTCGGGACCTCTGGAAAAGCAGCTAGTGCTCTTAATTATTGAGCTATCTCTCTAGCTCAGGAATAAGTATTTGCATGTGTCAATATGTCTTTTTATGTCACATGTGTGCCTCTATATATGTATTGAGAGGAAAAGCAGAGAGGCAACATTTAGCAATTGTAAAATCCAGATGAAGACGATACAAGTTTTATGAAATTTAAAGTTTTTATAACATTAAGATTTTCTAAAAGAAATAGTTGAGTAAGAAAAGTTTTTTTTTTTTTAAATCAATGAGTTTTTCTAAAAAGCAGTTACAGCTGGGCCTAGTGGTCCAGGCTTGTCATCCTAGCTTGTGAGTATGGAGGCAGGAGGATAAATTCCAGGCCCACCTCCAGCTACATAGCAAGTTCAAGGCCAGCCTTGGCTGCATAAGACAAGAAACCAAATTAAATATTAATAAAACAAAAGCACCCGTGAAGTCTGCAAAACAGCCAGGCTGCTTTATGGCTGCGTGTGTCGAGGGTAGCGCTCAACCATGCCCAGCAGAGTGCTCATCCTAGATGCAGGTCTGGAGTGCTCCATTAATATGCACTCTGCAGCCGTGTCACGTCTCCTCTCTCTGCTCCGCAGTGTCGAGAGGAGCCCATGCAACATCTCGGTGCTGCAGGACAGCAGGAGCCTGGCCAGCTTCATAGGCAACGAGTTCATCCTCGCCTTCTTCCTCCTGCTCCTCTTGGTCTGGTTCCTGAACCGGGAGTTCGAGGTCAGCTACCGGCTGCACTACCATGGGGACGTGGAGGCAGACCTACACCGCACCAAGATCCAGAGCATGAGAGACCAGGCTGACTGGCTGCTTCGGAACATCATCCCCTACCACGTGGCTGAGCAGCTCAAGGTCTCGCAGACCTACTCCAAGAACCATGACAGCGGAGGAGTGATCTTTGCCAGCATTGTCAACTTCAGTGAATTCTATGAGGAGAACTATGAGGGCGGCAAGGAGTGCTACCGGGTCCTCAATGAGCTGATAGGTGACTTCGATGAGCTCTTGAACAAGCCAGAATATAACAGCATCGAGAAGATCAAGACCATCGGGGCCACATACATGGCAGCATCAGGGCTGAACACTGCCCAGTGTCAGGAGGGTGGCCACCCACAGGAGCATCTGCGTATCCTCTTCGAGTTCGCCAAGGAGATGATGCGCGTGGTGGATGACTTCAACAACAATATGTTATGGTTCAACTTCAAGCTCAGGGTCGGCTTTAACCACGGACCCCTCACGGCAGGTGTCATCGGTACCACCAAGCTGCTATATGACATCTGGGGGGACACGGTCAACATCGCCAGCAGGATGGACACCACTGGTGTTGAGTGCCGCATCCAGGTGAGCGAAGAGAGCTACCGTGTGCTGAGCAAGATGGGCTATGACTTTGACTACCGAGGGACTGTGAATGTCAAGGGAAAAGGGCAGATGAAGACCTACCTTTACCCAAAGTGCACGGACAATGGGGTGGTTCCCCAGCACCAGCTGTCCATATCCCCAGACATCCGTGTCCAGGTGGACGGCAGCATTGGGCGGTCTCCCACGGACGAGATTGCCAACTTGGTGCCTTCTGTTCAGTATTCGGACAAGGCTTCCCTGGGATCCGATGACAGCACGCAGACCAAGGAAGCGCACCTGTCCTCTAAGAGGCCCTGGAGAGAGCCAGTCAAAGCAGAGGAAAGGTTTCGATTTGGCAAAGCCATAGAAAAGGACGACTGTGAAGACACGGGAGTAGAAGAGGCCAATGAACTCACCAAGCTCAACGTCTCAAAGAGTGTGTGAGGCAGCGTGGAGAGCTGCCGAGGTGCTCTGCCCGTCCAAACACAATAATATCTGTATCGATAGGCTGTCGTGCTATCTAGCACCTCAGTTTCTGTCCCCAGATGTGGTGTCACGTGGTCATTTCAGCCCTAATCTCTGTGTGGAGCAGTTATTCAGGGTTCATTTCCACCCGTTTTGGTTTTTCCTTTACTCCCTTTCCGGAAGCCTTTTCCTGGAAGCCTGCCCCCAACCTGGGGGATCCATTCAGCAGTGTGGAGGGATACAAGTGCCTCTTCAGGGTGTGGCCTTGCGTCTGGGGCTGAGGCCACTGGTGGAATTATGGCCCTGGGGATTATTTGACTTCTTTAAGAAAAAAAAAAAAAGGAAAAAAAAAAGCTGTGGTTAAAATACCATTTTTATTGCCTTTTCTCACAAGTTTTTTTTTTCTCATACAGTGTTCTCCAGTTTATTTTTTCTATATATGTAATAGTATTTTTCAGTCACCTGGCCTTTCTAAGCACATACACGCACACATACTTGCATTTAGGAATCTGACATAAAGTGCCAGTAACTCACCTGGGGGAGGGGCTGTAAAAGGGAGCAGGGCTGGAAACTCAGCAAGCCCCCTCCTGGCATCTCTCGGGTACCTGGGCCCACATTCCTGTGGCCCACAAATGGGCCTCTCCGCCCCCAACACTGGGCAGTTTCAGGGGCTCATCTGCACGCAGGCCAAGATTTCATATGCTCACCAGGCACAAAGCTTACAAACCAGGCCTCAGGAATCTCAAAGCCGTGTTTTCATCCCAACCCCCCACAGAGGGGTCTTCCAGCCAAGAGTGAAGATGTTTGTCTCAGAAGCTGACCCATTTGAGGGAGACGTTTAACCATCTGAGGATGCATTTATTTATTTATTTATTTATCAAAACATGTGTATTACGGGGAGGGGCCACTGGGTAGTTTTGGTGGAAGGAAGCAGTCAGGGAGTGGACAGGGCAGTTTGCAAAGGACACAGCCGACCAATGACAAGATGTCCCTCTGTGTTTCATGTCTCATCCACTGTGGCCCACAGTGCCACCCAGGGTGCTGCTCCCCCTTGTGGGGATCCAGAGTAAAACTGGCTTGGCGCCAAGTAGGATTCTGCAAACCTTTTGTCCCTTCCCCCCACTATGCAGGCTGACTTGTGGTGAGATTTGATTCTGTCGGCCAAATTCAGACATGTGAAAGAGGTTTCTTATGGTGCACCGAGGGACAGAGCCATCTGTTTGCCAAAGGAGATGCAGAAAGCCCGTCACAGAGACGGCGATTCAAGTTCCTGGCTGCCAACCTTCTTGTAATTGTGTTCTTCCATGTTGAGTCTCAGGTTGACGCTGGATGGAGCTCAGCTGCCCTGCCGCCATCATTTTTCCAGATCACGCTGGTGTGCAGCTCATGAGACAACTGAGGAATAGCTCTGTGTCTGTTGGAGGTCTTCATGCCATGCCCTGTGGTGTGTTCTTCCACTGGTAAACGTCACTATATAGTTTTCACATCTGAATTAAGCCTGGTTTTCACTCCTCCCAAAAGATGGAGAGAACCAGCTTATGCTAGCAAGGTGACATCTTAGTTCTAGTCAGCCACGTCCCGGGAGACACCTGGGATAGCCACTAGAGCAGCAAAGCCATGCCAAGACCCAGAGTGTTCTTAGTGACTGGAAGATTTCCCGTCCCAGTTGGCTCCCTGTTGGTCTTCCAACTCGAAGAAAAGATAAGTTGTGTCAATACCTCTTGCTTCTGAAGAATGTATTCCTGTACAATGCCACAGATTTTCTTTTCTTAAAAACACTACCTGATTCTTTCCTTGTGCTAGGGATTTAGGGCATGCTGGGGTCTCCTGCTGTCAGCTTTAGGGTGTGCTCATCTGAGTGAGCACCAGTCTGCCCACCACCTCCAGGCTGCATCACTTTGAGGAGCTAGCTAGTGGTCAGGGTTTTTGCAATCTTGGTTCAAGATGTGCTCTGCCAAGTTCATCTCTTCCCACATCTTCCCTCTCAGACTCTTTCTCTCTCTGCTACAGAGGTCTCTCTGATTCTCTCCCGGCACACTCCCCACCCTATACCTGCAGACCAGCTGGAGAGAATCATTAACCTTGAGCGGGTGGTCCGGTTCTGCATTGTACAACTAGAGCCCTGGCTAAAGGGCAGCTCACACAGATTGCAGTGGTCTTAAGAAACACCCTGAGCCTTCCTGAAGAACCAGTGCAGACATTCTTCTTTCAGGGTGCATGGCCCCTGGGGCCTTTCCAGCTCCCTGCCCTAAGCATACCTCAGCACAGAACCACAGGCTCTCTGCAGCACACCTGCCACGCAGTTTGGTCTGTTGGCATTGAACAAACAGCTGTTGCTGGTGACAGTTGGGCTTCTAGGCAGTGGACTCGAGTGTCCATCAGGTGGCAATACTTCTTAGGAACCTAGGGCAGGAAGCAATACTCCAGAAATGAATGTGTGTAAATAGTTGCTTTGCATTGCGAGTGCCCTTTCCTTCTTGGCCCCAGCTCTGATCAGTTTTATACATCTGTATGATCAAGCACACATAATTTTATCCCACACAAATGAACGTAGAGCATCGATTCTAAACCCTCAAACTGCTTGACGAGCCCCACAGATGTACCACACCTGCGCATGGCTCCCTCTGCCCTAACTTTACTTCTGGGACTGCACCTGCACATTTGCACATGACACGGTGAGCCAAAGGCAGTGTGCGACCATCACCTGGGCTGTAGTCACTTGTAGTTTTCCAAAGATAAGTCTGCATTTGAATTTCTTGATTTTTTAAGGTAAGCATTTTTTTTGATTGGTTGTTTTAAAAATCGCATCATGCCTAGAACCTGAAATTATATTAGCAAGAACCAACTGTTTGTATTTCCATGTTTTCCTTTGCTCTGCTCTTTTTAAATTGTTAATTCTAAGAATTTCAAAATGCATCCACTGAAAAAAAAAAGGATATTAAAATGTTCTACAACTTAACTTTGGTCCATGGTATTTCCTCATTGAGAAGCTTGGTACTGCTTCACTTCAGAGCTGGGCCTCCTCTCACCCAGGGTGTGTCAGGCGGGTCAAGTGTTGACGAGCCATGTCCAGACAGAAAGGAGCTCTCGTGGACTGTAGACTCTGGGAAGGGACTCTCTCCACTTGTCTGTCAGCCTGTAGAAATCCTTCGTCTCTACCCACTGAGGGCAAAAGCACATCCATTGACCAGGGTACTTTCCTGCCAAACAGTGCTTGTTGGCTTCCTTAAGAGCCCTTCCCTAGCTGGGGAGCAAGGATCCTCACTGTGCTACAGGTCTGACAGGAACATGGTCTTAGGCTATAAAGGGCACCCAAGGACTTAGACAACTTCGCAGACAAGAAAGGCAGTCTCTAGTCTTTGTAGTACAACTTACCATTTGTGGTCTCTCTTTCATCTGAGATCTTCTCTGTACATGGTTGCTTTTCATGCCGTGGGATTCTATCGTTGTGGCCACCTGGAACAGATCCCAAGACCCTGGAAAAAGAGGCAAACTGGAGGAACCAGCAAGTGAAGGGGTGATTTTAAAAGTTCATATTTGCATATTATCTACGTGTATGTTTAAAATCACTGTGTGTGTGTGTGTGTGTGTGTGTGTGTGTGTGTGTGTGTATGGTTTCTTTGTAAGAAAAAAAGTATTTGAGTAATTAAGCCTTTGGAATTCTCTTCTTCCTGCTGGATCTGCAAGTCTATGGAAACCAGAATTAAGCAATGCAAACATCTGCTGTTGAAACCTCACTTATCAAAAGCAGTAGATTCTTTACATTTTATGCCTTTCTACTCCAGGAGCATCAATAATTTGATGAAAGTTGTGACCTCATTGGGGAAAAAAATGCACATAAAAAAACCTACTCTCTTAGGGCTGAGCAGATGGCTCAGCCAGTAAGTTTATCTTTAAGCTTGAGGACCAGAGTTCTAATCCCCAGAAATGCTGAATGGATGTGGTGGCCCTCCTATAATCCTAGAACAACAGAGCAGAAACAGATTCTCCAAAGCAAGCTACCCCAAACAGTGAGCTCTCAGGTCAAGTGAGAGGCCTTGAAGGCAGCCAAAACCAACCTCAGGCCTATGAGAGCATGTACGCATGCACACACACACACACAGAGTATTCTACACAAATGCAAAAAAGAATACACTCTTTGATATTGCATAAGATTCCAAATTCAGCACTCGGGAGGCAAAGGCAGGCAGATCTCTGAGTTTGAGGCCAGCTTGATCTACAGAGCAAGTTCTAGGACAGCTAGGGGTTACGCAGAGAAACCCTGTATCAAAAAACTAAAAAGCCAAAGATTTTAATTTTTGGATTCTAGTAAACTACCCCTCAGCCACAATGGCTAAAGGAACACGGGTTTTGTTCTGACTATTGACGAGGTCTCCACCATCTGTTTAAAGACTCCTGTTTGGAAGCATGGACATACACAGTTACATAAATATTTTTATCAAAATTATACTTTACAATTTAATGTGTTAATGTAAATATATGTGAGGACCCTCAACTTTTCATCCTATAAATACCAATTTAGTCAAATTACTTGAAACAGAGGATTTATTTATTAAAAGCCTACTATGTGCTACATAATACTCCAAAGCTTCCTTGGCTTAGGTCATTTTTCCTCTGGTGCTTATGGACATCTGAGAAGCAGCTATGAGTTGGAATTGCTTTTCAGGATGACTCTTCCAGACACCAGTAATGTCATTTTCCTGATTGACATCTCTAAACAGGGTTCCTTAATGTCATCTATGGCTTTTAGTGGGTCTGCCACTTGAAAGAGGAACCCACTTTTAAAATAATTCTCGCAGTGACTAGCAGGCACAACTTCAGGTTGGCTTTGCTGGAATGTCAGGAGTGACATGCCACCCACTTAAGACCTTGACTTCACCTAGAAAACAGTTGTTGGCTGATTTAGACGTCTGGTAAGCCTACCTCAGCTCTGAAAGGAAGAGGCACTTCTTCAAAACTGCTCTTAAGTGTCTTCCTCAGATTAAAGCGGGGAGGAAGGGTGGAGATGAATCCAGGCTGACATGGACCTTGCTATGTAGACCAGCTTAGCTGAACTTGTGGTGATCCTCCTGCCTCAGTCTTATTTACCATCACACATGGCCTTTAACTCATTTTCCTCACCACAAAGCCTTTCCAAGTTGAGCCGGCTGGGAAGGAGGGAGGGTCTGGGTTTGACTGCTGTTTTGAAAGTTGCCACCATCAGGAAATGTTTGATATGCTCAGAGAAGGGAATAAAGTGGGTCCCCGACTATCTGCATACAATTCCCAAGGCACAGGCTATTAGGTCCCAGACTTAGGACAAAGGCTAACCAATCAAAGCAGACTCTGGCCGCAGTCTTCCCTACAGGGTCCTCCCAGGTGGCATGCCCCGCCCCTATGACGTCAGCCATTTTGGCTACCGTTGCCTTTTTGCCTCTTGGCTGTAACCTACCCCTTTTGGTTCCCGCTCTGGCATCTCTCTCCCTCTCCCATACGGCTCCATTCAGCCTGCCGGCCATGTACACTCTAGACTCTTCCAGATGCCTATGCTCCCCCTCATACCAACAATAAACCTTCTCCTCCACCAAACCCAGGAGCGTCATGCCCTCATTTTCTTTATTTCATTCACAGACATTGGTCCCAGAACCAACTTAAGCTGCTACCTGCACCCCATCCCCTCAGGGCCACCCATTAATTGTCCCCACTGCTTTCCAGCCCTTCTTCCTGTCTCCTCAGATTGTCCTACAAGAGGTTTCAGTTGTAGCCCACTTTTTCTCTTTGAATCTTTGTCTCCAGGACACTATTTCCTGCACAAAGCCTCAGGACATGTCCCGTTCTCTTAACCACCCACCTCTGCATTCATGCTTCATCTCCTCTGTCTTGTCAGAGGCTGGGAGCACCCATTAACCCTGAGGAAGGCGAGACACTGCCCTGTCATTATGCAGTATCCATTTAAAGAAAATTATTTAAATCGGACTGTGGTGGCACAGACCAATAATCTCAGCATTCAGGAGGCTGAGACAGGAAGATTGCCATGATCATGAGGCCAGCCTTGGCTGCAATGGGTGTCATGTTTTCCAGGGTCAGCAAGACACTGTCCAGAAAACAAAAAGAGCTGCAGGTAAGAGCACTCGCCACCAACCCTGAGGACCGGAGCCAAAGCCCCAGGTACCACATGGAGGAGAAAATCAACTTCCACAAATTTTCCCCTGACCTTCACACTAGTATTCTGACACACACATGCACACATGTATGCCCATGGATTAAATAAATAAATAAATAAATGAAAAAAGATAGTTATATGAATTTTCAGAGAATTAAAGGAAAACAAGAAAATTAGATGTAACTACTTTCTAAAAAAAAAATTAGATTAAAAACAGTCTTCTAGATAACGTTTCCCTATAATGCTTTGAATAAGACCGTGAATGTCAGTGGGGCAGTGGTGGCGCACGCCTTTGATCCCAGCACTCAGGAGGCAGAGGCAGGTGGATCTCTGAGTTTGAGGCCAGCCTGGTCTATAGAGATAATTCCAGGACATTCAGGGCTACACAGAGAAACCCTGTCTTGAAAAACAAAGACCGTGAATATCTTGCATGGATCTCATGGATGGTGATCCGGACTCTTCCAGGAATTTGTCGCCTTTCTCCTGGCCAATTCAGGGGCCATTTCCACCTTTCAGCTCATTTCTAAATTCTCTCCTGTGCTTATCCAACTGTCCATTTGCCAGCAGGAGTGCAGCAGGCTTAGACATGTGAGACGTAGCAGGAAGCGTGGCACAGCTAGGGAGCTGCCATACATTTGGCCTCTACTTGGCAACAGTTACTGGAACTCCAAGAAAGCAGCCCGTGTTCCTAGCTAGTGTCTTTCTTCTCAGTCCTGCAAACATTGGGGCTCCCTATTGGCATCCATCGCAACACCTTGAGTGTGACCTCAGCTCAAGTTTCCCAGAGTCACACCAATGCCAGACACACACTAGGCATCTGCTTCCTCTATAGCCCTGCCCACCATGTGCACTATCAACCCTGGAAACCCTTAGGCTTCTTGGTGAACCTCATGCTGTGTCTACCACATTTTCTAGGTCTAGTCTTCATTCGTGACCCAGCTGGAGACAGTGCAAGCTTACTCCTCAAAGGTTCCCTTGACATCAAAACCCAGAAAGTCACCTGCAGTCATTTCTCAGTTCAGCCAGAAGAAGTTGCCACTGTGACCTACTGGGAGCTTTGAGCCTACACAGGAAAAATGGCACCTGCACTCCTAGGCCAGACCAGGCAAGTCCTTGAATCAACTTGGAACTTAAGCAAAGAATTCCTTACCTCCACTAAGGTGAGCCACAAATGTCCTTGCCGTTGGGAGAGAGCCATGACAGAGAGCCAGAAGAGGGAAGTTTGGATGTGGATGTAGAATGGGTCACTTGGATCCAGGGAAAACACAACAGAGCAGGCATCCCACAGAAGCTGGGAGTGCTGCACACTGCAGCCTGGAGCATGTCAGAAGCCATCATCCAGGCATGCCAGGCATGACTCCATGTGAACCTTCTCTAGTCACATGGAAACTGAACAACTCTCTACTCAATGATGACTTGGTCAGGGAAGAAATAAAGAAATTAAAGACTTTTTTAGAATTTAATGAAAATGAGGACACATCATACCAAAACTTGTGGGACTCCATGAAGGCAATGCTAAGAGGAAAACTCATAGCTCTAAGTGCCTACAAAAAGAAACTGGAGAGAGCACATACTAACAACTTGACAGCACAACTAAAAGCTCTAGAACAAAAAGCAAATACACCCAAGAGGAGTAGAAGGCAGGAAATAATCAAACTCAGGGCTGAAATCAACCAAATAGAAGCAGAAAGAACAATACAAAATATCAACAAAATCAGGAGCTGGTTCTTTGAGAAAATCAACAAGATAGATAAACCGTTAGCCAGATTAACCAGAGGGCACAGAGACAGTGTCCAAATTAATAAAATCAGAACTGA